TCGCCTCCCTCCCAGGAAGGCCCAGTGCCTCCGCCAGCAGCTGGTTGCCCAGTGGCTCTGCTCTGGTGGCAGTGGGCTGGAGGAGTACACACATGTGCTGTGTGTTTGGCATGGAGGTGGTGGCACAGCTGGCCTCGGAGCTAGCAGTCCTCGTGGTGCTTGCTGTCTGCCAAACTGGCAGGCAGGACTGGCAGTGTTGTGCCCACAGAGGATAAGTCCCAGTCTGTCTTGCTGTAAACCAGGTTGCTTGTCCTTGATGTCAGGGCTGCAACTTATGCTATCCGCACTCCCCCGGCTGCTCTGCTCCCCTCTCCCTGCTCTGCTAAACCGCCTGTTTTGGTTAGAGTCTGCTTATCTCAGAGCCAGGCAAGGAAAGGTTTCTACCCAGAACCAGCCAAGAGGTTCGTGACGATCCCTGAAGTCTCAGTACCCAGCTGCAGTTTCCTTTGCCATTCAGTGCAGGAAGGGGCTGGATGCTGCTTTAAGCTCTTGGCCGGTGCAAAAAAGATAATAGAATCATAGAATATCCTGAGTTGGAAGGGACCCATAAGGATCACACCAGGACCTCCACACCCATAAGGATCACACATAAGGATCTCCACACAGGACCAGCCGAATCAGAGCATATGACTGAGAGCGTTGTCCAGACGCTTCTTGAACTCAGTCAAGCTCGGTGCTGTGACCACTTCCCTGGGGAGCCTGTTCCAGTGCCCGACCACCCTCTCGGTGAAGAACCTTTTCCTGATATCCGACCTAAACCTCCCCTGTTGCAGTTTCATGCCGTTCCCTCGGGTTCTATCACTGGTCACCAGAGGAAGGAGATCAGCGCCTGCCCCTTTGCTCCCCCTCGTGAGGAAGCTGTAGGCCACGATGAGGGCTCCCCTCAGTCTCCTCTTCTCTAGGCTGAACAAACCAAGGGACTTCAGCCTCTCCTCATACGTCTTGCCCTCTAGACCCTTCACCATCTTTGTTGCCCTCCTTTGGACACTCCAATAGTTTTATGTCCTTTTTGTACTATGGTGCCCAAAACTGCCCGCAGTACTCGAGGTGAGGCTGCACCAGTGCAGTGTAGAGTGGGACAATCCCTTCCCTAGGCCGGCTAGCAATGCCGTGCTTGATGCACCCCAGGGTACGGTTGGCCTTCCTGGCAGCCTGGGCACACTGTTGACTCATGTTGCACTTGCTGTCGAGCAAGACCCCCAAGTCCCTCCAAAGATGTTGCAGCTTTGGGTGCAAATAAGCTGCAGTGGTGAGCTGTGGTCACCCTGAGCTGGCTGCAGAGTGTGGTGGGAATACACGCTGCCGGGAAGGGAGAGGAGCGACCCTTCACAAAGCCTGTCCGGAGCTGGAGCAGAGATGTCCAGGCTGGGGGCTCTTCCCCTCGTGCTCCCTGCCCGGAGCTTTGAGAAATGCCTCTAACTGTCCCTCGCAGCAGGCAGTTGTTACGCTAGGCTGCTCTATGCTGCCAGTAGTTCTTAATGACAACCCTGTGTCGTTTACAGCCCCTATAATTTCCCTGTGTGCGCAGCATGGCAGGAGCTGGCCACAGCCGCTTCCCTGAGGTGTCCCTGCCACTTGCTTTCCGATGGAGACTGTATATACAGGGTTTGTGGGCTTTCACATCTGATGGCTCCTGGTATTTAATGTCTTGCTCCTCACTCAGTGTCCCAGAGCAGAGGGGACAGGAGGGTGACAATTCTGTACAGGCCACCTCTGGTGCCAGACCAGAGGATGCTGATGGGAGTGAGCAGTTGGGACCGCACCAAGGGCTTCTGTGAGCCCTGCTTCAGCCTTCATTCAGTGGCCCCAGTGCTCAGACCCTCCCATCGCATCCCTCTTCCTTTTCCCTGGCCCTGTGGGGAAGGAAGGGAGCTGCTAAGGTTTCGTCTCCAGCTGAGAGGAGGGAAGTGCTGTGATGGTTGCTAACCCCAGCACTCCAGGCACATTTAGTGAAAATACCAAAGAATCGGGACGACTCCTGTTAGAGCAGGGCTGGAGGATGATGCCCAAGCTGCTGCTTGTTTTCTCCACCAAAAGCCCATCAAGACAGCATCACGTGCGCTCCCCCATCAACCTTGCAGGCTTAATCAGGGGAACAGGGTGTTTCAACCAGACCAGGCAATCTGCAGCACGCTCTCTTTTTGCCTGCTTTCCTTTCCTCTGGATAAGATAAGGTGTTGGGGGAAGATGACCTGCTGGTCCTGCCTCCAGGACAGCAAGCGCAGGAGGCTCTGCACCAGCGCTCCTGGAGCAGTGGCTCTGCAGGAGCACAGGGTACCTCCCAAAAGGCCACTTCTCCCACAAACATGCAGCCAGCGCCGAGTAATGACACCCTGTGCCAGTCCTTGCTTCAGTGTGTGGGCTGGGTTTGGGCTGATTTCAGCTGGATTAGGGAAGTTAAGGAAGGATGGTCGAGCCTGAACAGAGCAGCAGACCTGCAGGGTGGCTCTCTGAGAGGCCTATGGAAAAGTTTTAGGAGAAAAACCAACTGCTTCATACAGTCTAAAAGGACAAGATATTACCTAAGCAGAGTTTCTTTGCTCCACCACTGCCCAACTTCAAGCTCTTCAAAATTTTCATTCATCAGATTGGCCTGGAATTGGCCCCCAGGTTGCATGTCATGGAGAGACCCCAGCAAGCCTGCACAGGTAACATGGTCACAATAATTTCCATGGGAAACAATATGCCAGACACTGAGGCTGTGAGGCCGTTTTCAGAAAAGGAAATGCTCAGTTTGCAATGCAAACAGGAAAGGGTGGCACTTGGAAAAGGACCTTTCCTGTACCACAGACACCCTGACACTGCAGGGCATGCGAGTGACCTGCTGGAAAAGGGACATGTCAGCCCTGCCAGCTGCAGGACGAGTGGCTGGTATGGTGCAATTTGGTGCATTGCCATCCACAAAGATGTCCTCCAGCAGCAGTTCACTTCTGGTTTCTTTATGAGGTTCTCAGCCCAGCTCCAGCTGAACTGTGAGAGTCCATGAACTGCCTCTAACTGCAGCAGCAGCAAAAACTGGGCTAGCCTGGAGAAATGGGCTTTAAAAGTCCTTTTGTTTCCCCCTGCCTCAAAATTATCTTTGCTTTTCCCCTGCTATGGTGTTTTCAGTTGGTGTTTTCCAGCACTTGCTTTTCTCGCCCACCTTGTTGTGTTCACAGCGTTGCCCTTGCAGTGCTGCTGTGCTTCTGGGTGTTACTTTTCACCCAGTGTTACCTTCCCCTGCTTTTTAAACCAAAACCTGATTTCAGTGGAAAAGTCTACAGCCTCCAAAGCCCAGTCCTTTATCCACAAAAGAAAAAGCTGCCTTGGTTACCCCAGAGCTGCCTTAAGCACCACTGGCTTTTCGGCACTTTCTAATTACCAGATGATAGACGGGATGATTTTAGCCAAAGGAGCAGCTGTACTCAGTTGAACCACCCAGTAAATGAGAGAATTTCCAAAATAGCACCACAGGCTGCAGAAAGCAGACAAGGGACGGGAGATCCCCCTTGGTGCCAGCAAATGGTGATCCCTGATGGCTCGGAGAGGTAAATTGCTGTGAAATTTCAGAGTGTGAAAGAAGGATTCAGTTTGCAACAATCTCAGG